AGGAGGATAACTGCACCCATTGATGTCATTTCTGTGTCACCATGCAGGTAAATTGTCATACTGTGGTGTGATCAGGAGCCACTGATGGGTTTTGCCCATCAATAGCAGGGGATTGGTGATTGGTTGTGAACTGTGTTGTGCAAAAGGAAGAGTCACCAAAAGTGATAGCCCTTCTTCTATGTCAGTGGTTCTCAATCTGTGGGTCCCCGGATATTTTGGCTTTCAACTCCTAGAAATCCTAACAGCTGGTAAACTGGCTGGGTTTTCTGGGAGTTGCAGGCCAGAACATCTGGGGACCCACAGGTTGAGAACCACTGCTGTAGCCCCTCATGACAGAAGATCGGAGAAGTGTTTGGCTACTGTGTCTAGGTCTTCAGACACAGGGTGATTATGGGCCTTTCCACACTGCCATATAATCCAAAATAAAGGCAGACAATCCACAATATCTGCTTTGAATTGGGTTATCTGAGTCCACCCTGCCTTATAATCCAGTTCAATGTGGATTTTATACAGCTGTGTAGAGGGGACATAAGACTTCTTCTGAGACTTTCAAAGGACCCTGTAGGATCTCAGCATTTGTCTACAGGGACATATCCAGATGCTTCTCTGATCCTTCCTGTGCTTCACCTGACACTCAATGCCCATAGGGTGGCTACAGTGACTTTATGGTGAGTTACAGAGGGCCAAGTGGACAAACACAGTATAATTCTGTTCATGGAATGATTACTCTAGCTCCCCATGCGGGGACATGAGAGACGCCTCCCACAGGATGGTAAAAAACATCAAAACATCTGGGCATCCCCTGGACAGTGTCTTTTCAGATGGCCAATTCTCTCACACCAATAGTGACTTGCAGTTTTTCAAGTCACTCCTGACATGAAAAAAACTGTAAAACATCTGAGCCAGTGGGTTGGATATGATTCTAGTATGCTCAGTTGTGCTGTCAGAAGCAGGTGCCATTTGTGCCAGAGGAGCCCTACAGTTCTGCAAGAGGCATGGGACATCCTAATGGGGTGGATAACCTTGGACACTGGCAATGATGATCCGCATAGTAAAAGCAATGATATTCCCTGTAGTAACCTACAGATGTGTGAGCTGAACCATAGGGAAGGCTGAGCGAAGGAAGATAGATGCTTTTGAACTGTGGTGCTGGAGGAAAGTTCTGAGAGTGTCTTGGATTGCGAGAAGATCCAACCAGTCCATCCTCCAGGAAATAAAGCCCGACTGCTCATTGGAGGGAAGGATATTAGAGGCAAAGATGAAGTACTTTTGTCACATAATGAGAAGACAGGGCAGCTTAGAGAAGACAATCATGCTGGGGAAAATGGAAGGAAAAAGGAAGAGGGGCCAACCAAGGGCAAGATGGGTGGATGGCATCCTTGAAGTAACTGGCTTGACCCTGAAGGAGCTGGGGGAGGTGACGGCCAACAGGGAGCTCTGGCGTGGGCTAGTCCATGAGGTCACGAAGAGTCGGAAGCGACTGAACAAATAAACAACAACAAAACCTTGAGGAGAAGAAAGGGAGAATCTCCAAAGTCAGAAAAGGATTAGGAACAATCAGGACGGTGGCAGGTAGTACATTGGAAAGTAGGCTTGGATGTCTAATATTCCAAAGTAGCCTGAGATAGTTGAGTGTTTAGACAGGCAGCTCCAATGTCAGCGGGGCAGTAAATGTACATTGAACTTTAAATTCAAAGGGGTGAATCCTAAATTATTACTGCTGTGCTTTGAGTTCATTTAACATTCACATTCAAATTTGGCTCAACCACCCTGCTGACATGGAAGCTCCATACAGATTACTTGAGTTACCCCCCATTGTAAATGAGAAGTACCCAACCAGAGGCCAATATCATCTAGTGCTGGCTAATACCATGATACCATGAAAGGCCTCAATGGTTGTAATGTGCTGTTTCCATCAGCATCTGATGAAAAAGGAAAATCTTGCTTCAGACATTTGCCACTATTATCTGGGGAAGCTAAACGTCTTTGAATGGAGCATCACAGCCGGCCATTTTCCAAGATTCCAGCTGTTTCTGATTCCCAGATTCGAATAGGAGACAGATGACTCTGCCATTAACCCATGACTTCCCAGACACAGAGTTTTGCTGTAACTTAGAAAGGTCTTTTTCTACTGGTAATGGAAGTATTTCAGAACAGTCCAACTGACTGACAACAGTGCCATCTTGTGGTCTGCTTTGCCAGCAAGAGCAAGGCATAATATTTCTTTCACAGACACAAGCACACCCATTTTGCACAAAATCATATGAAACAGAGTAATCCATTATATGCCAAAGATATAGAATACCTTTGTTTCATTTCTGTCACTATCATTAATAAGTGTTTGTCCTTGGTGCTTTAGATATCTTTTTACATCTGGATTTCACAGGTGTTCTCTAGACTGCAAGCATCCGGTCAATTGTGTGATCGTAATGGCAAACTTCTCAGAAGGCTCTTTTAGTAGAAAGGCTTTGATGGAGCTGCAGATCAATATTTCTTTTTAAATTTTTAATGTTTGCTCACTGTGGAATGCTGTAAATAAAATAAGCTAGCTGCTGGGAGTCTATGCTTCATACTTCTATTTTTTAAGTGTTGGTTCAGCAATCTTGCTAACTACCAGCTATAGATATGGCCTTAAAAATGTCGACAGTAATAAATCAAGGGCAAAATTTAAATAACCTCTAGTGGCAGGTCATTTTTCAGAACTCCCAAACTCTTACTTGTCCTCCAAGTAATAATTGTATAAGCATAGGCGGGGGTGAGTGGGAAACCGACAGAACTATGAATACCAAATCTGGAAATAAAACAAAAGCTGCATCAGGTTGTCATTGTGCTTAATGAGGCACAATGCAAAAAATTTGTTTGACCTGGTAATGAATGCAACATGAATAACTGAGTTATGGCTTTAATATCACCCTCAAACACAGTACTATCCTACATGTTGCTACTCAAAGGTAAATATCAATAAGTCAATGAGGCTTACTCGGGGGTATGTATCCATTAGTTGAACAGTTAAGGAGTTGGAATGGGCATTGGATGGCCAGAAAGCCAGAATTCTCTTACTGATTTATACTGGTATAACTAGGTTTACACAAGCGTACATACTTTCTTGGGCATCGTAAAAGGAGCATTGTGCAATATAACTCATGGAATCACAATGTTGGACCATCCAGGCCAACCCCCTCCCAAGAAGCAGGAAAATCGCATTCAAAGCACCCCTGACAGATGGCCATCTAGCCTCTGTTTAAAACCCTCAATGAAGGAGCCTCCAATGAAGGAGCCTGCAACTCCCCTGTCTATGCATTGGAAACTAGATAGTAGGGGTGTAGAAAATCGTTTTGTTTTCTTTCTGTTTTCAGAACCCTGAGTTCCATTTATGTTTCGGGAAGAATCTTCCCAAAAACAGAACTGGGGGGGGGGGGGTATGAAAACAGTATAGAAATCTGTGCCATTTTGCACACCCCCTACTAGATAGTGGTGGAGTGCAGTTCTGCTCCCAGCCAAAAAGTCTACTGAATGCCCATAGGGATTTGCCCTGACATCATCCAGCTGCTATTGCACTACCAATGAGAAATCAGCAGGCATTACCTTCCATCTCTTCCATTTAAGTATATTTGTTGGATGTTATGCTTTGCCAGTATGTAATAGAATCTCAGCCTTGATTTCCACTAGGGGTGTGAAAGTAATTTATTTACTTCTTTTTTCCCATTTTAGTGCAGTTATGTAATCTACATCGACATATAGAGCAGATCTACATTGACCACTGATTCCAAAGCTGATCCAGAGTGACAAATGCCAGATTGGCCCTGGGATGATTTATTCTGCAGTGTCCCCCTGGTCATTGCAGAGGTGAGAGGGAATTCTGATTTTCCAGCAGTGTTGAACCTGGTTTGGTGCTACTGTACAGCCACTCTTACCATCCAACCTGATTTCTTCATCATGGCAGCCAGCAGGTGCAACATGGCTAGTGTCAGTTATTCATCTCCTGGAATGATATCAGTCAGATCACCAGAGCATGTGGGAGTGGAGAGAGGATGAAAAGTAATAGCCCCCTCATCTCCCCTCTCCCTCCTTTCTCTGGTGGCATTGTCGCTCTAGCCAGTGTCACTCTACGCAATGAAAGACCAACACTAGCCATGTTGTGCAGAATAGCCATCATGATGAAGGGAATTGAGTGGAGGGGGGGGGGGTGAAAGTGAATGCCATTCCATGTTTCCAGCCCCCTCACCCCACCCAGAGAATGTGGAGTGATCATGTGTTTACATGGTTCCATCTTGGAAGCAGTCCAGCATTTTACATGGGCCCAAAGTTCCAAGCAACTTGTGACTTTGGCCAACATGGTTCAAGATGATATGAATCAGCTCTGCGCATCATTTAGCCACCATGGAATTGATTTCACCCACATTTCTGGTTATGTGATCGGTGTAAATGTGCCCACAGTTATGCTAGATCATCAGCCAGTTAGGGATCCATTTTTAAAATCAAGAACAGCATAATAAAATATGCATATTAAAAACAATTTTACATTTAAAAAATATAAATGTTCACTGCACTAAAGAAAGGGGTTTGTGAAACAGTATAACTCCAGTATCCATGAGGGATACATTCCTGGAGTTTTTGTTGATATGTGAAACGGCAGTTCATAGTGAATCCTATTGATATGAAGGACTTCTGGTCCAAGAATATCATAGAATCATAGAAGTCGAAGAGACCAGAAGGGACATCCAGTCCAACCCCATGCCATGCAGGAACACATTATTAAATCACTGCCAATAGATTGCCATCTAGCCTCTGTTTGAAAACCTCCAGAGAAGGAGAGTCCATCACACTCCGGGGCACCATATTTCATTGTTGAACAGTCCTTACCACCAGTAAGTTCTCCCTAATTTCCAAATAGAATCTCTTTTCCTGAAATTTGAGTCTGTTGCTCCATGTCCTAGTTTCTAGAGTTATCCTGGAGGACCTAGGAAATACCTACAGAGAACATATTTTGTTGGAGGAGGATGAATAAAACCACAGACATCGGCCCTGCAGATATAATTATTGTATTTGGAAAAACTGAAGACAAAGGAACATTAACAGAGATTTATATGAAAGAGGAGCGAGTCCAGGGCGGGGCCATCTCCACCTGGCCTCATCACCTTAAGAGGATATTTTCCCATGGTTCGGCCAAGGTTGCCATTCACTCCAGCATCCCAGAAGCAGGAATCAACCTCTATCAAGACACAAGGGTGCACTGTCTGTGCTATGCCAATGAGGTGAGAGAGTCCTTCTGGGCCAGATTTACATGAAAATGCACAAACTGAAGAGAAAATGGATGACCTCAAACCCATCTTCAGTACCAGTGTAGCCAATAAATGGGGATGATTGCTTCCTTCTGAACTTTCAGGATGAATCATGTCCTAGCTATTCCTGGTGTCTTGGTTTTTAGGCCTGTTCCTGGGGTTATTTGGGCCACTGTTTCAGAAAATTGCATTGGATAGACCACATCAGCTCTAGTTTCTTAAATGTGATTACCATGACTTTTTTATGAGGGAGCAGATGACAATGGGTGCATGCGACATGTGCTGTATCTCAAAACCTAGAGCTAGTAGGGGGGGACTAGTGCCATTTTTTTTTTTTTTGGAATCAACAGGTGAGTTATACCCAGAAACAACGCTAACATGTTGGCTAGTCTTATGAATATTCTTTCATTCTTACTCATCATCACCACCATCATATTATCATCATCATTATACCTTGCTTTTTCTCTCCACAAGAAGAGAGAAGACTCAAAGTAGCTTATGCTGGATTCTCACTAGAATCTCAAATTAACCCACCTCAATGTTGTGATGATAAACATCCAAGCCATATATACTACCGTACCTGGCCTTTTCAGAAGAAATACAAAGATAAAAATGTGTCCAAAAACAAATAACACTTCATTTGTTTGAGTTCCAGATTGTCTGAGCTCCAAAACATAATTGCGTCTTGCCATATCAAATTCGGAGCTTGCTCATTTTTCTGTCTGTGCCATTTTCTAAAATGAGATAAGCTGTCCTTTGTGCAGCTTATTAACATCCTCTCTAGTTTAACTGTTCTGTTATCCTTTCCCTTCAAGGAATCATGGAATCTTGGGACGCATCTTCACTGTAAAATTCATGCAGTTTGATATAACTTTAACTACCCTGGCTCAATCCTGGAAGTTGTAGTTGGCAGTTGGCACTCTTTTGGCAGCGGAGGCTAAAGATGGTCCCATCTACACTATTGTTATAATGAACTGTGTAGACTCACATTATGCAGTTCAATGCAGTTAAACCGCATTATAAAAGTCTACACTGACCACATAATACAGTTCAATCTGAATTATAATGGCAGTGTAAATGGGGCCTACCTTTTAGAACTACAACTCTCATGATTCCATAGCATTGAGCCATGGCAGTTAGTTATGTCAAATTACATTAATTCTACAATATAGAAACAACCTAAGAGACTGAAGTGGCTAGACGATCCATTTGGTTTCACTCATAGAATCATAGAATCAAAGAGTTGGAAGAGACCTCATGGGCCATCCAGTCCAACCCCCTGCCAAGAAGCAGGAATATTGCATTCAAATCACCCCTGACAGATGGCCATCCAGCCTCTGTTTTAAAACTTCCAAAGAAGGAGCCTCCACCACACTCCGGGGCAGAGAGTTCCACTGCTGAACGGCTCTCACAGTCAGGAAGTTCTTCCTCATGTTTAGATGGAATCTCCTCTCTTGTAGTTTGAAGCCATTGTTCCATTGCGTCCTAGTCTCCAAGGAAGCAGAAAACAAGCTTGCTCCCTCCTCCCTGTGGCTTCCTCTCACATATTTATACATGGCTATCATATCTCCTCTCAACCTTCTCTCCTTCAGGCTAAACATGCCCAGCTCCTTAAGCCGCTCCTCATAGGGCTTGTTCTCCAGACCCTTGATCATTTTAGTCGCCCTCCTCTGGACACATTCCCACATCCTGCTCAATGCAGGAATGCATGGAATGTTGCTGAGGCAGTTAAAGTGGAATCATAACCCTATAACTATGTACCAAGAATGAGATGCAGAACTTCACTTATGCCACTGTGAAATGAATACAAATATTACTCCCTAGCCAAAAAGAAATATAACTGCGTGCATAAGAAAACTTACATTTCCATAAAACACAGGAAGCGTTCTAGCTATTTTTTTTAAAAAAAGTGAAATTAATTAATTCTACAGCTTCTCTGCTAAGAAGAGAAGCTGTATACTGAAATCCAGATTCTTATCTTTGCTAAGAAAGAAACAGACAATCCAATTACCTCAAACATCCTAATTTTTGCACATTGGAAAAGTACACTTGGTCTTAGATAAGGGTACACTGTAGTGTACACACAAATACTGACCTTTGAAACAATCTCTCAGCAGGGGAAAAACACCATAAACCATCCGCAGGAAAGGATGGCAAATTTGACATGCTGGGAATGAAACATGTAAATGAGGACCAAGCAAATGATGGTTAGAGCCAGCAGTCCCTAAAACATCAGGGACTAATTTCTAACAAACCATTAGCTGCGTGGGGAATTGTCAAACATTATTAAATGTAATTTGCCACATCTGTTTTATTAGGGAATTCATTTGCCACATATGCTATTGACTTTGGACCGCATTGAGGATTTTTTTGCTTGAGTTTATGGTTACAAATTTTTATTTTGTCTTTTTCTTTTGTGTTGCTTGAACTGCTCCTTTTTGTCCACCTTTTCTTGTAAACATGTATTGTAAAGTGAGGTGATGCTTCTTGTTGTTGTTAACTTCCTTTAAGTTGACTTCAGGCACTTCCTGACAGCCCGTTATCCCAGGAGCATCCGCGTTTTAAAAATGTAGATGTTCCTGGGGGTCTGTCTACACCCACCCCAGAAAGTGGCACTTTGAGGGGTGTGTGTCCAAATGTTCTGGCAGGACTGGGCCGGCAGAACATCTGGAGACACTCCCCCACAGCCCCCAAACACCTTTTAAAAGTAAAATAAACTTACCTGGCTTCCAGTGGAGTCTAGGTGGAGATCTCCCAGCATGGAGGCCAGATAAGTTTATTTTACCTTTAAAAGGGGGTTGGGATTCCCAATTTTCTGGGCTAGTTTAGTCAGCAAAACTGTGGGAATGGGAATGGAGTGCCGTCCAGACACTGGAAGTAGTGGTTTTATTGTCAAAGGTTTTCATGGCTGGAATCACAGGGCTGTTATAGGTTTTTCGGGCTGTGTGGCCATGTCTAGAAGCATTCTCTCCTGACATTTCACCTGCATCTGTGGCAGGCATCCTCAGAGGTTATGAAGTCTGTTGGAAACTAGGAAAACTGGGCTTATATATCTGTGGAAGGTCCAGGGTTCCCTTGATGTATGGCAAGAAAAAGACGAAAAGTGCTCTTGCCATACATCAAGGGGACCACTGACCATATAGGGAAGCTGAGGAGGAAATACAATGCACAAACTGTCTACAGACCAACAAAGAAAATCCAACAAATGCTACATTCAGCAAAGGACAAGAGGAATCCTCTCACCTCTGCAGGAGACTACTGTTTACCATGCAGCTGTGGACAAGTCTACATCGGGACCACCAAATGCAGCATTGCCCAAACATTATTCTAGGAACATGAAAGACACTGCAGACTAATTCAACCAGAAAAGTAAGCCATAGCAGAGCACCTGATGCACCAACCTGGACATAGCATATTATCTGAGAACACAGAAATGCTGGACCACTCTAACAACCACCATGTCAGGCTACACAGAAAAGACACTAAAAACCACAAGCATGTGGACAATTTCAACAGAAAGGAAGAAACCATGAAAATGAACAAAATCTGACTACCAGTATTAAAAAAAAACTCTAAAATTATAACAGTAAATAAAGAACAAAACTCAAACACAGGGGAACTCCAGACAAGAAACACTGAATCACCTCTCAACAAAGGATTTTCCCAAGCAGTAACAAGTCACATCTAAAAACTGTCAGGCCACAAATGCTAATCATGGTGGCCAATTGAAACATTCACACCTAGCTCCAACAGACAAGAGTTCTTTCTCCCACTCTGGACCTTCCACAGATATCTAAACCCAATTTGCCTAGTTTTCAACAGACCTCACAACCTCTTAGGATGCCTGCCATAGATGCAGGTGAAACGTCAGGAGAGAATGCTTCTAGAACATGGCCATGCAGCACAAAAAAACTACAACAATCCAGTAGTGGGTTTATCCTGTGCGTTCCAAGAAGGCACAGAATAAATCCACTATCTAATTAATTTGCCACACACCAGATTTTTCCTATTGGTGGTGAATTAATAGCAAGTTGGCCAGAAAGTCATCTGGACAGCCCCTTTTTTATTGCGGAATTTTCCACAATAAATGGGCGGTCTAGTTTGGCCCTTCGATCCATGGCAACCCTATGAATGGGAAACATCCAAGTTACTCTGTCCTCAACTGCCTCAGGACTGCTGTTTCTGTGATTGAATCTATCCAGCTGGAATGTGGTTTTCCTGTTTTCCAAGTTCTCAGAAATAATAAAGCAACTGAGCTCAGTCAGGACTATGAAGTCTGCCTGAGAACTATCCTATGGGCATTTATTTGCAAGGGTCTTCCTATTTAAGAATGTTTGAATAATAATTGATGATGGAAAAGGTAATTTGCCATATCTGTTGGATTGGTCCCATGGTTTCATTTATCAAAATCTGACAAAATAAATAGTCCCTAGACTTTTTCTAGGTCATCTAGATCAAGCAGCCATGGGCCAATTTGGGCCCTCCAGATGTTTTGGACTTAACTCCCACAATTCTGGCTTAAACAGCCAGAATTGTGGGAGTTTAAGTCCAAAACACCTGGAGGGCTGAAGTTTGCCCATGCCTGCTATAAAGTGTTTTTGTGCCAGAGATTCTTCATTTCAATACGGTTTGCTGTTATCTGCTTTTTTGTATATCCAGTCAAAGTCTGGGAACTAATTACTCATGGATATAGGAGCATCTGCAGACAGGCAAAACTGATACCAACCAATCTGCTGTGCCCACCTTAGAAACATTTTGGGGATCAATCCCAGTAGCTTCTGCAGTGGACTTCACCAGCATCCCTGCTGAAAACCATTAAGCTCAGAGGAAAAAAAAGCCTAACTGCACCATTGTTTTGGACTTGATGGATCTTGATTTGAACAAGTACAGCAGTTGTGACATAATATGTACACTGAGCACAGATAGAGAAATTGAGCCACAGCTATTAAGCAGCTGTGCATGGATGTAGGTAT